CTAATTCGAGCTTTCTTTATGGTTATTTCCATAGAATTACTTGATAACGATTGTATGTTAATGTTATATGCCATTTGAACGATAGTTTAAAGTTATTAGAGCGTCGAAATCTTCATCACGGAACTCTTTTCTTCAAATAACAACACTTGTTTTTTTAAAAAAAAAATGGAAATATGATGTAAAATATTTGTAAATTCATCATTTTAACTTGAAAAATGACTAAAATTAGACCTATTACGAGTTTATTATCTTTAGAATGTATTATTGACGAATGCACGATCGTTAAAGGTGGATTTGGTCGAAAAACAACTATAACGAATATATATTCGTTATTTCTATGTTATAACGAATATATATTCGTTATAGTTGTTTTTCGACTAATTCGAGCTTTCTTTATGGCTATTTCCATATAATTACTTGATAACGATTGTATGTTAATGTTATATGCCATTTGAACGATAGTTTAAAGTTATTAGAGCGTCGAAACCTTCATCACGAAACTCTTTTCTTCAAATAACAACACTTGTTTTTTTTTAAAAAAAAATAGAAATATGATGTAAAATATTTGTAAATTCATCATTTTAACTTGAAAAATGACTAAAATTAGACCTATTACGAGTTTATTATCTTTAGAATGTATTATATGACGAATGCACGATCGTTAAAGGTGGATTTGGTCGAAAAAAAACTATAACGAATATTCGTTATTTCTATGTTATAACAAATATATATTCGTTATAGTTGTTTTCGACTAATTCGAGCTTTCTTTATGATTGACCGAGATTGTACTAATTTGACTTTAATTGTACTTATTTGAATTCAATTAGATTAATTCGAGTTCGATTATATTATAATTGACCGAGATTGTACTAATTTGACTTCAATTAGATTAATTCGAGTTCGATTATATTATAATTGACCTAGATTGTTCTAATTTGACTTTAATTGGACTAATTCGAGTTCGATTATATTATAATTGACCGAGATTGTACTAATTTGACTTCAATTGTACTAATTTGACTTCAATTAGATTAATTCGAGTTCGATTATATTATAATTGACCGAAATTGTACTAATTTGACTTTAATTTTACTAATTTGACTTCAATTAGATTAATTCGAGTTCGACTATATTATAATTGACCAAGATTGTACTAATTTGACTTCAATTAGATTAATTCGAGTTCGACTATATTATAATTGACCTAGATTGTACTAATTTGACTTTAATTGGACTAATTCGAGTTCAATTATATTATAATTGACCGAGATTGTACTAATTTGACTTAAATTGTACTAATTTGACTTCAATTAGATTAATTCGAGTTCGATTATATTATAATTGTGCTCAATTGTACTA